ACAACATCTGAAAGTAGATTGAAAGGTTTGGATCTTTTGAATATTCATACATAGGCATTTGACGACAAGCAAGGATGGGATAATTGAGCTCAATCCCAACGAAGATTGGATTTTACATTGTAAATATATAACATACAAAATAAAATTATTCCTAAGAAACATTTTGTGTAAAGGCTTAAAAAATAGAAATTTCTTTTTTAGGTCATTTAAGTGATTCTTTACACATAATTTTTTTTATAATTCACATTTATTTAATATTGTGTATTAGGAATAGTTATTAGTCCTAATAAATTTATGCTTGATATTTTAAAAAAACAATAATATTTCTTTAAAAATTTTATTACCCCCCCCCCCCCCTAGACCAAATTCCTGCGTAAGCGCCTGTCCCGACATATGAATTCAATTTTTGAACTGACACTAATTCTGTCTACACATATAAATTAAAAGTAAATAAATATGATTTCATCGAAAAACATGCGAAAACAACGAATCATTGAATTTATGGGAAAAACCTTTTAATGGAATTGGTATTTTTGTTATTGTTTTTTTGAAATCATGTTTTTATAGTTATCATTATCGCCCATTTTGTATTCGACATTTTTTTTAATTAGATAATGGTATATATATACATATTATTTTTTAAAATATATTTCCTAATATTTATGCAACACCATCCAATTTGTTACTGATGACGTAATAACTTTCTCTTCTTCTATGAATTTTTTTTTTCCATTTGTGAATTGCGATGCCTTCCTAATATAAATTTGGCGGTAATATTGCAATTTAGAAATTAATAGCCATCTAAATTTTGTAATAATGCGCACCGCCATCTTATCGGGAAGGGGGGGGGTGGGTGGTGATTAGGACATTAAAAGTTTTAAAAGAGATTTATAATTCGAATTATTTTATAATTTAGTCATTGTGTGGGAGTGCGGGACAGGGGGGTTAATGTATTTATAGCAATTTTTAAATTGATGAAAATTAAATGTATAACAATGACATATAATAATACCTAGACTGACGATTCATTCATTAAAAGGCATTTTTAAGCGTCGTTAAAAGCAAATCAGCTGGACCCGCCATTTTGGTAACCTTTATAATAATTATTTTCATGTTAAAAACTAATATTAAATTGATAACTTACTTTCTTATTATCTCGATGATCAGGCAATTCTTTAATAAAGTTTGCATCAGATATAATATAAAATTAGGCTCTCGTTTAAAATTTTAATATTTATTACAGTAACCAAGATGGCGTGTCTAGCTGATTTGTATTGATGTACACTTTTAATGAATGAATCGTCAGTCTAGGTATTATTATATGTCATTGATGTATAATATGAAATCCTAAAAATAAACAAAACAAAACAAAAAAAAATACATATATCGTCTACTTGAATAGCCGTAGTGTTCTATATTCATTTTAAAAGATTTTGGGGAAGTAATGGGTTAGCACAACACGATAATCGCAACTTGGGCTCCTGTCGTACGCGTTTTTTTTTTGAAAAAATAATTGTGTTCTTTACACTGCAAATGTTCCAAAGACTGATTCTCGAGGTATTCAAAAAATTTAATAACATGATCCCAAGACCCCTAAAATAATTAATATCCGAAATACCCTTTAGCCAAAACATTTATGCTAGCATCAGCAGAATACTCTATCTGGGGTTTTAGTTATTCTGAATTTTGCGTGCATTGATTTTTTTTTCAGCACGATTCTATAAAAATCCTACTGTCGAACAGCTCAACCCTAACTCTCGAAAAATAAATAAACATTGGAAAATTGCGAAATGTAATTTTGATCCCATTTGTCATCAAAACTCTAATTGTTCATGGTCAGAATTTATCGCACAATAGGCATTCTTATCTATGGTTCCATATAGCAAAGAAAATAGTTCCACAAGGAACGGGTCAAATAGTTACGAAATAATTTCAACACCTGTTTAAATGTCCAATTTAATTATTTTTTTAAAATAATATCTAACTCTAACTATATAAAGATTTAGTGATTCTAATTCCGTTATCCTTTTCTTCTTCTTAAGAATATAAAAAATAAAATATTTTTGTTTTATTTACCTCGGGGAATGTTCATGTCGTTTCGAGCTTCATTACTTAATAATTTAATTTCTCCACTCACTATCGAAAGTGTCGGGCCCTATTGGTCGTACAAAAAAATTTGGAGGCAGAGCAGACATGACAATAAAAGATGGCCGCGACGTAGAGATTTAATGTCTCCGAATAAAAATGTCGAAAGAAAACACGATCGACTTCTTTATAATATAATAAAAAGTCAGTTTTGAATTATAAGTATAATAAATCTAGGGTTGGATGAAATAAAAAAAAAGGATTAAAATGGTGCTTGTAAACATCGAAGCGTTTTTGTTACGCGAACATTTTTCCGCGTTAAATAAAAAGGTCGTAAACTTCAATTTTTTTTATAACGAAATATTTTATAGGAACCACTTCCTACTCAAATTTTTAAGCAAGTAATATGAGATATACAAGGAAAAACAATTAATTTTGTTAAGAGGTAGAGATGAAATTCGAACCCGCCCTAGAATTTAGCGTTTACCAATGTCTCTTTTCATGAATTTTCGAACTTTCTGGAAATATAGGTCGGGTTCGGGTTAAAGGTAGTGCTGTTAAACGGGCCAATTTACGGCCAATTTTTTTAAAAAACGACCCCGATTAAAATTTTTAGCCAGAATATTTTGCTAATAGAAGGCGGAAAGATTTGGGTTCCCATTTGCCCAAATCTCGAGGTTCTAAAATCTTAATCGTTCCTTTTTTTTAACAAGAGTATGTTAAGGAAATTTATAAGGGTTCAGGTTCTGTCATAGTTCATATTTTTTTTATGCAGGAATGATCCATTCATCTTTATCATCCAGAAAAATATAAGATAACATTTTTAAAATAAAAACTCTTATCAATATTATTGATTTTAAAAATTAAACAAAATTAAAATTCTAATCTTCAGATGGTAATCTTTTTATTATTTTATAATGATTAGGCAACAAAATGAGTAATTTTCTTGTTACCTTTTAAAAAAATAGTCATTATTTTTTAATTACATACCATTATTACCAATATATATCATATATCACTTTACTAACCAACTGATATTATATACTTATATTATATATAGAGAGAGAGGATGTCTATTTAAAATTCTTCTTTCTTTTCGACTCTTTTTTTGACTTAAAAACCCTTTAACCCTTCACAATTTATACTTTATTTATCCCTTTCCTTTCCTTTCCTTTCCTTTCCTTTCCTTTCCTTTCCTTTCCTTTCTCTTTCCTTTCCTTTCCTTCTCTCTTCTCTTCTCTTCTCTTCTCTTTCTCTTCTCTTCTCTTCTTCTTCTTCTTCTCTTCTCTCTCTCTTCTCTTCTCTTCTCTTCTCTTCTCTTCTCTTCTCTTCTTCTTCTCTTCCGTTTTCTTTTTTTTCTTCTTTCAAACCTTAGAAAATGTTATATTCTAAAAACTGATGTCGAATGTCATTATCCGATTACATTTCAAAGATTCGAGAATCCGGAATATAAATATTGGATTGTGTAAAAAGGGAAAACTGAAAAAAATTTGGTTATTCAAAAAGTTTGGAAAAAGGAATATCACGTGACTCCCTTTCAATTTTATGGCGGGTAAAATTTCCAGTTGTCAATTCTCTAAATAATAATATAGAAGTAGAGTGAATATCTCTCATTCCAGGGCTGGGATCTTATGAACGACAGTGTCGTGGATACAATTTTGAGGAAGCTCTTCTTTATTAATAATGATTCTTTCTTTCCTTATCGCATGAATACGTTCACTGCACTAGTATTAGGATATATGTCCCACCCTTTAGGATTAGGAGTACCGACCCAGCCTAATATTAATTACTGGTGAAACAAAGGGTCAATCACGGGGGTATTCTTTATAAGCCGGTGTTTATAGGCGCAAGTTTTATTTTGTTCCAAACAAAATATGTCGCTTGTATTTTATATCTTGTTATCCCTTTAGAAAATCAAAATAATCATTTAAAATTATATCTAGGTCGGATGATTCCTCCAGGCATACTTTAACGAGGTCTTGATAGATAAGATTGTTAGGGGGGCTTGTCTAAGGATATGGCGCGCTAAAACTCCATTCTCCTAAATTCTATCATGCTATACAAAAGAAGGGTATAGCACCTAGCCCATAGCATACTGTTGATTGTATTAGTAGGGAAGAAGGTTTTAGTGATATATTTTAGGCATCATATTGTATGAGAACAAAATATAAAAATGTTGTTCAACAACCTGTGCCTGATTATAGCCACCATGTATTTTTTTTGTTCCAAACAATGTATGTCACTTGTTTTGTACATTTTGTTACAAAAAAAAATTCATTTAGAAAATCAATAAACAATCATATAAAATTATATCTAAGTCCATTTCCTACCCAGTTTAGAATCGGCACACGCAATGCTCTAGATTTTTTATTTAGAAGCCTCCCTACTCATATAGTTTGCGCAAATCCGCCGGCATCTATAACTGTGAATGCAGGGTTTTAGAGGTAATATTAAATTTATGATTCATAATAACGTTGGTTTTTTTAAAAATATTTCTAAAAAAAAATGTAATTAAATTTATAAAAGGAAACAAGAGAAAAATTTTTTTTATTATTTTATGATTCCTTCAAAAAAAATAAAATTATAATTATATAAAAACTGAGCAAGGAAGATGTTGTTGAATGATATAAGGGAAATGAAATGAAAATCTGTTTTATTTTATTATTTATTCAAGAATATTTATGTTTATGTTTTTAATTTATATTTTTAAGAAGCTAAAGAAAAAAAAGTAAAATTCAAAAAAATATTTAAATAAAAAATATATATAAAATAATAATAAATATCAATTTCAAATTAATAAATATATTTAATTTCCTTAATAATTTTTCCCAAGCAAAAAAAGGAAGCAAATATTTGTTAAATTTTTTGGATTTCTTTTTTTAATTTTTTAATTTTTTAATTTTGAAATTAGTTAATTATTTTTAAAAATGAAATTATCCACACTATTACAGCATAGGAATGATGATGAATGATGACTTTAATTATAGTTATTTCTCATTATAAATTATTCGGAGTTGTCAGTGACATTTTGAAAATTTCTTTATGGCAAATGGTGACATATTTCTAAAGGTAAAAAAAAAATTTGTTTTAACGTGATATTTGATATTCAATTTCAACGTTGATTTGCCATAAAATAAAAATAAATTAATTATTTTTTTATATTTTTCGCCTTTATTTGCGCTATCTAAAATAATTTTAATGTTGTTAAAGAAGGCTGACTCAATATTTCATCTAGAAAAAAAATAACGCAAGCTTGAAGATTTTGCTCATAGAAAGGAACAAAGGTCTAAGGCATACATTTTCGAAATCTCCAGTCTTAGGTGGCTAAAATATTGAGCTAGCCGCTTTAAAAAATTTTAGAAAATTAGCTCAAAATGAGCCCGTTTAAACAAACACTGATTTCAAATGTCAATATTTCTACTTTATATTTGTTTTTTGAAAAATTTCAAATATATTCTCGAATCGGGAATTTCAAATATTGTCATAGTGGGATGTAGTGAGTGTTATTAATTGGCTCGTTTTGCTCAATAATTTAGCCAGAAAATTATTGTAAGCCTCAAGATATCGACAATATATATCTGGATCTTTGTCCCATCTATGAGAAAAATCTTCAGGCTTGGGTAATATTTGTCTGGATGAAGTAATGAGTTAGCCGTTTTTAAAAATCGTCTCAAAAGCCGTTTAACAACAACTAAGTGGATGATATGTTAAGTGTAGTATTTATTGGTCGAGGAATTGTAAAGAATATAATATAAAAGGGACGGAGCCAAGGAAGGAACGAAGTAATGTTTGCTAAGCGGTTCTATTTGAAGTCGATTTTTAGATTTTTAAACAAAACAGTTAACAAATCCATCAGGTTTGCGTAATAATCTTAAGAGATTAAATTTGAATCAGCCGTTTATATAAAAACCGACATAAAACGAGCCCTTTAACAACACTAGGAATGAGGGAAATGAAGGTAAGAGGTAGTGTTGTTAAACGGCTCGTTTTGAGCCGATTTTTAAAAACGGTTAACTCAATATTTTATCTAGAATAATATTACGCAAGCCTGAAGATTTTGTCTGCAGAAGGAACAAAGGTTTGAACATCAGCCAAATCTCGAGGCTTAGGTAATATTTTACTGGATAAAATATTAAGTTAGCCGTTTTTAAAAATCGAACACTAGCTAAGAGGTAAGGAAAAAGAAGGTAGAAGTGGGAGTAAGAGGGTAAAGTGAGGAATAAATTTATCAATTCTCGTATCAAAGAGAATTTAGACAAAACTAATCCTAAGTTTATGCCCGTTAAAATTAAATTTGTTAAATTTTAGACGTAGAAATCGAATTGAAAAAGAAAATATACTATATAAATTTCCACAAGGAATAATTTAAATACAACATAGGAATAATTTCCAGTATTTACGAAAAGTTTGGGTTTTGTGATTTAACCAATATAGAATTTTTCGATTAATATCAAAATTTTTTAATTAATATGAATAATTAATATTCGAATTTTTAAATCGAATAATTTTGTTATTCGTATTGTAATAAACAAATCAACCAATTCCAATATCAACTAACGAATATGAGAGCTTCTCTTTGCCCCCCCCCCCTCTTACATGTTTTTTATTATTTGTTTTTTTTTAAATCGTTTTTTACATTGGTTATTTTTTTAAATATGATTTTAAAATATTTATTCAAATTCCTTATTGTTTATTCTTAATATTATTTTTATTTGTTACCTTTTAATATTTTGAATATAAAAAGTTTGTTTTATTTTAAAAAAAAATAGATCAGTTATCATTTAAAATTAAAAATAAAATATTGAATTTTTAATTGAACTTGAAAGCTTTGTAATAATACTTATGTACAATTTTTTTTTAAATTGATCAAAAGTAAGCTAGTGTTGTTAAACGACTCGATTTTAGCCAATTTTTAAAAACGGCTGACTCAACATTATAGCCAGGAAAATATTGTCTCGTCGAGAGTTCGCTAATAGATGTTCAATCTTATGTGCCATCGATGAGAAAAATTTTTAGGGCCTGCATAATATTTTTCTGGATAAAATGTTGAGTTAGCCGTTTTTAAATAATCGGCTTAAATTGAGCGTTTAGAAATTAACAATAGGACAATACTTGAAAGAGGGGAAATAATAAATATCAATTTCCCTGACACAAAAAATCGTTGTTTTGACTTCATGAATATGAATTTAAATCGAACTTTGACAGGTAAATGACGTTGATAATAAATTTGATCTTATTAAATGTTTTTACATTTGTTAATTGTTAAAGATAAGATTGAAGAAGGAACAAAAAATGACGTAGGTTTTTTATGTATATCATGAGAATATAGTGAATGTAATTTTTTTCTTTCTTCTTCCTCGAAAAGAACATATGATTTTACCTTAATGACAATTCACTACCTTTATATATTTTTTCTAAAATTTGCATTTTAAATGCGTTAGAAAAAAAAATAAATTTCGCGGTCTGTCATGTGCCATCACTTTTGCGCGTGCGCTTCGAAAAACTAATGCCCAAATTTATAAAAAATAAATAAACTTATTTATTAATAATTAAATAAACCAATTAAAAACACTCGCTAATTATAATTATTTTATTAATATTTTAAAAATACGAATCATTTTACATATAAATTTATTTATACATTTCAAAGATCTTGCATAGGTACCATTTGTTCGGCCCTAAAAAAATTTCAGGCCCAGCCTGGATATATTTAAAAAATTTCCCATACATTGTAAGTCATTTTTTTTATTTAGTGACAATTTGAAATTTATGGCAAACTTTCAGAATTTATCAATACGACATATATATATAATTTATAAAAGTTTTACGAAAAACGTTCATTCAATTTCTTAACCGCAAAATAAAAATTGAATTAGGTAATTATGCCTGAAAATCAATAAGTATTTTTGGTTTTTTTTAAAAAATAAAACAGTTCATATGATATATATATACTATTTTATTTTTGAGAATGATTTTAATATAATATGGTTTTCCTTGATGTTTTAAATCTTAAAAGAATTATTAACGTCTAATTTATTCGTTTTTATTAACAATCTTGGTAATTTGTTTTTACCCCCTAAAAAAAATAAATAATTAAATTAACATAAATGAGTGAAATCTTTTATATATATACTCGAAAATAATCGATATATCATGACATAAAAAATTAGCGATCTCAAAGCGAAGGGGTGAAGACGGGAAAGGGATTAATGATTCTCAAGGGAAGGAATGAGAGGAAGGAAAGAAAGAAAGAAAGAAAGAAAGAAAGAAAGAAAGAAAGAAAGAAAGAAAGAAAGAAAGAAAGAAAGAAAGAAAGAAAGAAAGAAAGAAAGTTTAGATTTCACGACCTCATACATTTTTACTAATAACCATTCTTTTATATTATAAAATAAATCATCTTTTATAAAAATCACATGCTTTACACAAAACAGCTGTAAATGTTGATTTGTTAAAAAAAATAATTAAACATTTTAACCAATTTTTTTAAGAATTAAATGCTTTATCTCTTCTATAAAGATATTTTTTAAAAAAATAATTGTTTTCAAGTTATTTTTTAAAAAAATAATTGTTTTCAAGTTATTTTTTAAAAAAATAATTGTTTTCAAGTTATTTTTTAAAAAATTCATTTGATGAAAGATAGGGGACTATTTAATACAGGTCCACTTAAGGCCTTATATCCGATGGTGTCATTTTGCATCCGGCCGAATATAAAAACTCGAATAATTTAATTTCTGTGACTTTTGAACTTATTTTTTTGTGGATTTGTAATCTATTAAACTATTACGTATTTCACATTTTTCGAGGATAATTTTCTCTCCGCGACATCTCAATACAATATTGTATACGGATATTAATTCAGCTATGGACTCATGGGTTAGATAGTATTTTATTTTTACCTTATCGGTAAAGGCAATTACTATAGTATATATAGTATAAATGTAATTATCTTTAGGTTTGTTTCTTAGTTTTTATTCGAGCAGATTAATTACTTTTTGTTTCGCCTTTTCTTCGCCGTTATTCAACAATGAATTTAACCCCTCACCCACCCCCAACCACCTATTGTAGGTCACAAATAATATCGCTTTCACTTTTTTTGTTTTCCTTTCGTAAAGGGGTGGACACTCAAGTCGTAACGCCTTGGCTGGGCACCAGGAGTATACATTCCTGATTCACTTCTTAAGCCTGAAGAATAAAACAGTAAATGATTAACCCATTAGATTCAAAGATTATTCATAAGTTTTTACTGAGTTTAGATGTGTTATCACAAAAATATCATTTTCTTTTTTAATATTGGATGATTCATAAATGGAATCATTAGGCGAATAGTGATTAACATTGTAGTCATGGTAAAAAAAAATCATCTCCTCATTGACTGAAAGGTGCCCCTTGAATATCTAAATTGCTGTACATTTATGATCAAAGCTTACAAGGCTCAATTTCTATATTCAATCATTCGTACAATAAGTTGTGTTGTCACTGTCAATTTTATTTCAAATCTGGAGAGCGGCTTTTGGCACATTTTTTAGTATTGAATGAAACGACAATTTATTTGAGATCAATCACTCGATTATTCTGTCTAGTGTATAATTGCGTTTTTATGTATCGATAATTTGAAAGGAGTAAGGTACCTTAAAATAAGCCAAATAATTTAATAGGATAAGTCCTAAAATTGGTAGGATGAAATAAAACTTAAAAATTTTAAGTTACTCTAAACTATGCGTAACATAAGAAACGCTAACATTTTCCGTTTTTCGGTTATTTAACTAATGATTAAGTGTATTATTTTTTGTTGATGTTATTTACAAATAACCAAGGTAAACAAGGAAGGAAAGTTCATCAAAGTTTACTAAAGCAGCTGTCCCTACTCATAGAAGAACTAAGAGTACCCCTAACCCTAAGGGGTGAAAGATAACATACTAATTCTTATTCGATTGACATAATTACGAAGAGTAAACTATTCGATTCGTTCAAAAGGATTATTTTGAATAGGCCTAAATGTTCCCTTATAAATCGTTAATCTAGATTAGTATTAATATCATTGGTCACATCTATCTCTATTTCAATTTTTT